CCTCCACCTTAACCCAAATTCTAATATGCTTAGTTGGGGATTTCAACTAGGGTCATCCACACTGTGACAAGCATGATACCAATGGATCAACGGAGCTTAATCTTTTTGATATCAACTAAATATCTCTCTCTCTCTCTCCTGCCCTCTCTCTCTCACTGATATCTCATTTGCTGGATCTTCTTTTTTTCTTATGTATTTGTTTAATACAACCCCATCAGCATAATTTAGATCATTTAGGAGGTGGGCTTCGATCATGCCTGCCAGAGCCTTTCCTGTCCAAGATAGCTAAGCGTCCAATCCCTACACCACAGACGCCTGTTTACTGGATCAAAAACACCACATTAGATTCTGGGACAACAAATGAAACTCTCTTTCCAAGGTTAGTCCCCCCCCCCTCCCAAATCAATAAATGTGCTAAAGATAGAAACTCACAGCAGATACAGTTTTGTTCCCATAAGGCCTGGGAGCAAGGCTGGGAGGAGGTCCTTTCCTCTCTTCCTCCTCCTCCTTCTGTCTTCTTGCTGCCTCCTCTTCCTCATCTCTTTTCCTTCTCTTCTCTTCCTCTTCTTTCCTCTCTCTTTCCGCTCTCTCCCTCTGGAACTGTTCATCAATGCGGTTCAGTTCTTGTCTGAGGATGAAAGAGACAATACATCAGGAGATGCCGGGAGAGGGAGGAGGTTAAAGTTTACTTTTACTAAGAGTTTTACAGCACTTGCAACACAATAAGGTCATATAAGTGCCGAAAATTACAGGTGCTACAAGAGAGTAAGAAACACAAGAAAAGGAGGAGGGAACAGGATGATAGATGTTTGATAGGAACGGAAAGAAGGAAGAAACCACACTAAAGCACCTGCCAACCATCCACTGGGGGAGGGGGGGGGGAGAGAACTGATGTCAAGATACAGTTTAGGGCAAGGCAGCTGGTTAACGCCCTCTTTTCAAAAGGGAATTTTTTTTTTTTAAATAAAGAAATAACGTTATCATAATAGCTTTAAAAGGAAGGAGAGTGTGAAGAATACACAAAAGCACTCACTATTCACCCGCGGAGTGGAGAGAGAGAGGCGATTTGTTTTAGTATGAGTTTTACAGTACTTGCAACACATAAGTGCTGAAGATTAGAGGAGTTACAATAGATTAACAAACACAAAAGAAAGAGGAGAGATAAGGACGATGGATGTTTGATAGGAAAGAAAGAGCCAACCACACCAAGGTACCCCGCCAACCAGCCGCACATGTATTGGTTCGTTTGAGTAAAGATAGGCACATTGACCATCGACACAGTAATTGTCATTTAGTGCTGGGAAAAAAGTTAGACAGAAAGACGGAAATAACGGAGGGAAAGTAAAGAAGTAGGACCTACCAGTGGCGCCCTCCAACCACCCG